TTGGTTAAAAGCAACAGTTTTATGGTCATTTTTTTCAACGTCTGACGATTAAAATCTATGAATTTTCACGCCTAACCACTAACGGAAAGAAATAAACTGTTGGCCGCGAAAGCCACTTTTTAAAATTACAGTGCTAAGGATTATATGACTTTAAGGCATTCCTCCTCTTTAACACATTAGTAGACATCGGAATTTGATCGAATCTCACCAGGCGAATCAAATCTTATCGCTAAAGCCTCGAATGCCATCAAACTCTACTTACAGTTCTTGTAATTGTTGCATTGATCGAAATGTTCCAATGGCGATATTTTCCAAGTCGCAATTGTTCATTGAACTACATACAAAGTTATGCAAAAATAAATAAATAAATAAATAAATAAAAGAAAAAACTCAAAACTAAGCAAGCTGGTGCTGTAGAAAGAAATTATGGAAGAATGACACTCATGTTATCCAAAGACTCCTTGGGACTTAATGAAGAAACCGACCTTGGAGAGTTTCGGAAGAATTAATATTTTTTAATCGCCAATGAATGCCTGTTTCTGAAATACAAGTGTCTTAACTGAGGATACTGTTAGGCATTTTCCGTGAAAATACATGAACAAAACGTCGAAAACAACGTCAGAAGTAACCACACCCTGAGACAAATAATAGTTTGTTCTATGGCTGCAGTAATTTATATATTTAGCCACCGAACTTACAGACTTTTCATATCCATAAAACCAGCGAAGATATCTGATAGCAGAGATGGTCCAAGTGGATTTAAATCAAGGTATCTGTAAGAGTGAAACGTTTGTAATCAGTACAAACTTTCTTCTACATTCAGGTAGGTCGCTGTGATAAAAAAGAAGGTGGCAAATATTCACGCTCAATAAAATGTGATGAGCGATGTAATAAGGTATAGAAGTAATGATGAGAGGATAAATAAGAACACAAGAGAAAGAAGAAAAGGTTCGTCATCTCTTCTCATAACATCATTTCTAAGATATAGAGGATATTACATGGCCGCGCGGGGATACGAATTTTATCGAGTGCTGAAAGTATCTCTCACTCGTTCGCTGCGCCCACTCGTGAGAGATACTTTCAGCACGAGAAGATAAAATTCGTATCCCTAAGCGGCCATGTAATGTTCTGTTTATTATATAGATACTGATGCAATTTCAAATCAACCGACCGCGCGCCTGAGCGAGAAGCTCTATTGTAATTGGGTAATTATGTTGGTAACCATGGCCACACCAATATCCTGACACGTGAAAGATAAAAATAGTATCTTCACTGCGCGCGGTAAAGAAATGATTTTTTAGTAAAAGGACAAATCCTGGTATTTCATCAGTATCTATATAATAAATATATATATCTTATTAGACGTTTTGTTGCGTAGTATCGCTGAGTATTTTTACGAGTTGAGCCGCATTTTCACCAGCCGGTAGGGCGAGTCCAAATGCCAATAATAGGTTGTCAAATAATAGATTTCCTTTTCCTTTCTGTTTGAGATCCTTTTGTTTTGATTGTAAAGCTTTGCGTGCCTGTTCAAACTCAGCATAATTTCATAATGCTGAATCCGTAGTTCTTCTTCTTTAAACACCGTTTAAAACTGGCCAGCAAAGAACGTAAGTAGCTGGGTTCAAAGTCTTCTTTGCTGTCTTTCTTTCGAACCGTAATGATAAACTCACCGATGTATGCATTCAGCTTCTTTGGGGGAATTTCTTCTAGAAGTCTTGACTCGTCCCTTAGCGTCAGAAATTCCTTTAGCAAAGCAACATTCTGTTGAGTTTTTTTTCCCTTGTATTTTTGTTTTCTTGGTCCTCTATAAATTGTTCCACTGAATTAATATTTGCAACTTGAAGCCATGATTCTGGAGAAGCAGAAAACGTTGCAAACATTCACTCTCGATTACTTCACATGGCCGCCCCAAAAGGCGGGAAAAGCCGGTATAATTGTTTTCACATGTGAAAAAAATCGCACCAGGCTTCAGATTTGTCATGCGGTGTTTTTCACTAATGAAAAACATCGTATGACCAAGGGGATTGCTTTTCTTCGAAGAGAGACTGCGATTTTTATTCGGTGAATTTTCACTGAGTAAATCTCAGTACTTATATAATAAACGCTAATAACATATGTGTCACAGCTTCAAGTAGTTCTTTGTATGTCATTTTTTTCTTTTCTACAGTATATCAACAAGACTGGCTTTCGTGTTTGTTTTAAAGAATTGTATGAAACAAAATACGATCCCCTTTCTATTACGTACACTGTTATGTCAGGTAAGAATTTGAAGCGAATAACACCATCATAAGATAAACAGGCATTATTTCATTACCAATCACCACTTCAAGAGGAAGAAAATCATTTAACCTAGCAAATGTTTAATGTTAACGTGTCACCGTAGAAGGTTTACGCATGGGTACTTGATTTTGGTTAATATCCGACAGACTAACGACATGCATACAGACGTGCTGTGCATGATTGCTATTAACTAGCCGATTTTCGTAAGTGTCTATTGGCATTAAGAACTTAAGAGACAGAGAGGAAAGTTAGAGCGTTGAGTGGGCTATGCCGATAGCAGTTATATTTCATGGTATCCAATAAAAATAAGTATGTTTTCCCAGCTTAAAGACCGTTTAACGCTCATCGTGATATCTTGTTCGAGAAATACCGCTTCCTTTAACGTCTTAAATCACTTTCATCAACGAAATTTATCTCTGCACAAACCGCCCAGAAATTTCTTTCACGCAGAATTGCAGTTCAAGGTCAGTGTTATGGGGCTCTCCTATATGCAAAATATTTATCTTAGACATTAGCTGTTCATAACGTAATTGGAACAAACGTAACATCATCTATACGAACTACTGATTCTTGTTTCATGCTTGAAAACAGATCTTTATTTGCATTATATACAGAGATATGTCAGCCTGGATGGGACTATTTTAATGGCTACTGTTATTTCACAAGCCTGTCCTGCTCCTCGTGGCCAACTGCTGAAACAAAATGTGCTAAAATGGGCTCAAATCTTGTGACAGTCCATAATCAAGAGGAAAATGTCTACATTCAACATCGGCATAATGGAGAGAAATCCTGGATCGGGCTCAATGACCGAAGCATGGAAGGATCATTCGCGTGGACAAAGAAAGGCACAAGTAAATTTAGATTCTGGGCCCCACACCAACCCAACAATTATACGGATCAGGATTGTGTTCACACTCTTGGTGCAAAGAATGGATACACTTGGAATGACGTATCATGCGATAACTGTTTTAAATTTACTTGTTTTAAAGGTAAACAGCTGAACAGATTTGAACAAACAGAAAGGCTTTCTCTTGAGCCCTGTTAGTTTCGTAAGACATCAGTGGACGATTTGATAATTGCTATTTTGCTAATAAACACCAAACTCTAATGGGCCTAAGCATTTTGGGTTCTAGATGGGGGGGGGGAGAGAATTATGGTAAAAAGTCCTTGCATTGAGGACTGTCATTTTAATGAATCCCGTGCTATCTGTGCTGTGTATCTGAATTTTTTAAGAAAATATATTTTCTTCTAAAGATATAAACGAGTGCACAGCCAAGGCTCATTGGTGTGATGCTAATGCTTTATGTCAAAATGCAGAAGGATCGTACAAATGCGTTTGTAAGGATGGATTTACAGGAGACGGGAAAAAGTGCTCTGGTAAGAACATTTTATGATCATCCTATAACCCAAACTCTTTTCTTGGAAGGAGAGGAGGGGGAGGGTAATATTGTCGACCATACCCAATGGTATGTTTCACCTCAGAGATCATCAAGTTTCCATTGAAACAATGCAAACTATGAATATTCATCATCCTTAAAAAAAATCATCTGTCTGAAATAGCGAATTTAGGCAGGTACTGTCTTAAGCATTCCTTTGGTAACTTGTGGGAAATCCAGGGGCAATCCGTGCGCAGTGGGTAATCTTCGGGAAATCTTTGGGAAATGCGTTGGAAAACCGAAGGTAATAGAGAGTTACTGGTTATTTAGCTTTCTATTGCCCAACCTGCCCAGCTAAGTGTTATCAGAGCACGTGTTTTGTCGCTCACAAGCTTTAGTCGCATAATGACAAAATGTAATGATGACTGAGTGCAGTCAGTTTAGGATACCATTTTTAGCGGAATTTTTTGTGCTTTTCGAGATATCAACGAGTGCACAGTCAAGTCCCACCGGTGTGATGTTAATGCTGCCTGTCAAAATACTGAGGGATCCCACAAGTGCATTTGTAATGCTGGATACGAAGGAGATGGAATAAAATGCTCAGGTAAAAACAATAGTTGATCATATTTGATAATGCTCTCACTAACTTAAACTTTATGTTGATTGGAAAACACATCATTACTGTTGTATGGACTTTTGATAATAAAGCCAAGACATAATATTGAGTATGCGTTATTGCCGCAACCACACGGTGTCATTTAGAAACGAGAACAAAAGAACGCAACCGAGCTAAGTAAATATAGTTGGTCCCTAAAAGATAAAAACAGAGAAATTGCTGTAACATGGAAGACAATGGCTCGTGCCAGACAGACCCTATTCGAACGTGACAAAAAGATGAAACCTATGTTTAATAGAAAAATTATTCATCATATGCCAGCAAGGCGCGGGAACCACAAATAGAAGAAACGAACTGGCGAGTGCGAGCCGGCACGCAAGCAAGTATTTGATATGGTATAATTGAACAATCAACATAGAAAGACTATGTTAGATAGTCGGTATTACATGACGAGAGAGAATGACCAGGCCCTTTCGAAACAGATCTGTAGTGCAATGTTTTATTTTTTTCTTGTAGTATTCAATGAATTTTAGAGCCCCACCATTATAGAGCACTCTGTGAGTCAAGATAAAGCTTTACTTATTTAAATACATACATACAACATATATATGTGTATGTATGTATTTTATTATCTTTTCTTCCGGGAGCTGGGAGGGAGGAAAGCGGCCTCTGAAAGCGGGACCTGTAGCCACTTTGATTCTTATTGACTAATAAAAACGTTGCTCTGGTCAAAAATGTGCATAAACCTTAAAATTTTAAATCCAGGCCTTTCAAATAATACTTGGGTTAGGTTTCTTAAAAGTAACTGACGAGCTTGTAGGATGTACACAGAAATTAAAACATGCTGTATGGATTAAACATAAATAACGATCAATTCAAAGAAAAAATGTCAAGTACGCGTTTTTTCGTCCAGTCGCGTGATAGAGCTAGTAAACTCATTAGCACACATATTTGTTTTTGCAAGGTGTTTACGAACAATTTT